TTTTTTATTAATTCTCAAATTAGACATGATAGCTTATCAATGTTACTTATCTATGTTAACGTATATAGATAAAATATAAATTATTAACTTATTTACCAAAAATAAAGTTAAATGAAAGTCAGAATAAAATATAGATAACAGAACTAAATTAAATGTGTATATATAGCTAAATTTGATCTGGGCTATCTAATAATTATCACAAATATAGGTGAATGAACTCAACTTATTTCCAATTGTAAGATACCTTATTCAATTATTTAAATATTATAATAGCCACCACCTGGCTTAAATCTGCTAAACTAGTCATTTCTATGAGTTTTAACAACAAATTAGGCATTCCTTTCAGTATTGGGAATTACAAGCATAAAAGTTTTGCAAGTTTATTGCCTTCAATACCATTAAACACATGGATATCACTGGCAAGTGGTCTGAATACTGGTGCAACTAAATGGTAGATCTGTAATGGCTTTGGAGGTAGTCTTAAGTGATAATTAATGTACTATTCATATAACCATTATTTCCTAAATTGTTTTCAATTTGCATAAACTGTTGGCTCAGGTTCTCCAACAAACTCTATGCAAAAGTTGTGATTTTAACCATTTATATGATGTTTAATCACATGTTTGGTGATGAATATGTACTCATTATGTGTGGGCGACTGTGTCTCAAGCGATCATTTTCCGGGTGAATCAATATTGTGATTGTTTTGATTGTAATGCTTTTCATATCACTATTATATGGGGATTTGAATCGGGAAAAGATTTTTGCGCAATGAGTACAAAAATATTGATTCGTTCAATAAAGCAATAATACATAGTTTGCTAAAAATAATAATGATTACTGTATTATTATGACGAGGAACTTGATTATTTTTTATAATAGGTAAATAATTACTTGTTTTCATTCCTACTTCAATGCAATGCACTTATTGAACGGGCATTTGTCACAACAATTGACTGAATTCTTGAAGTTATGTCACAATAATTGTTAAAATAACAAAAGAGTCTCTAATTAGCAGTAGATGTAAATGTATTATAATTAATGATTAAGACTGATATTTATTTTATTTCACAATGAATTTAATCTATAGAATGCATGTATTGCATGATAAAATACAAATATTTCTAGCTAAAATAACAAGCACAATGTGCTATATCTGTATATCACATACTTAATGCCCTTAGAATTTATGCATATTTTGCTAAAGGATTAGTCAAACAATTAATTAGATTACAATTGATTGAAATGCTTACCAAAAGCTTTATCGCCATAAGTCAGGTGTGGTATAATGTACTGGGTACTTCATTTAAAATTAATAGACATTTTATGTTATAATATATTAGTTTGTTAACACTGTTTTGTTATAATATTTATTGTTTGTTTAAAAAAATAAACTTATATTTGTATTACTGTACCATGTTTGTATTATAGTAATAATTCTCAAAGTTTTGTATTATTATATATTTTTCTAGTTACTGGTGCATATAATATGACTTCCCTTAGGGTTTATATGCTGATTGAAGTGTAAGCCATTCCGATGTCATTACAGACATAAAAATATTATTATTATTAAATTCAAGGATTTTATATAATGTGAATATTAATTTTTCCCCCTATTTTGATTATAAATTATATCAAATCACATAGCTACATTTGGTGCTATAAGTACATTTCGCACAGGTACATTATGCAATACCTGTGCTGATAACATACACACACTCCATAAACCATGCTATATAACATCAGTTAAAACAAAAAAGCAATATATTTGTAAAATATATGTATAGTAATAATATTACAGCATATTACTACTGTATATATGAAAAGAGTGAAAATAATAAAACCAGATGCAACAAATAACAAAATAATTAATTTAATAATGAAACTTGTACAAACAAATTCTGAATAACTATAATATTTTAGGTGGCATAAAATATTTTTTATTCTAGACAGCATAGTAACTACTAATTTATAATTATAATAAAAAAACATTGCAGCATTATAAATTTATAATATCGATATTATGACACAAAAATAGAAAGTCATTTTTATGTTAATTAATACGTCCATTAAAATATGAATAATGAAGTCACTAATAAATAATTGTATTTTTGTCGGATGTATCATTTTCTGGTTAAACAAAAAAAAATCTATTGTCTCAAAAAATTTATGAGCTTTTTATTATAGTTGACATTAATTACTGCAAACAATATAATAGTGTTTCGTAAGTCTAGCAATAAATAATTACTTTAACGGAGCGTTAAAACAATTGTTCAATCGATAAATGCAGTGCTTAATTGTTCCCGGCAATTTATATATGCAAATTATAGTCTATAACTAATTGAATAAGAGCACGTGTAACATAGACAATATCGTCTACCATACGACCCTGACACTACTCACTATCTAGATGTAGATGTGCCCTAAATTATGATATAATAATACTTTAAAAAGTAAAAAAATATTTTTAGTCATAAGTAAACACCAGGCAATTTTGTGTCTTAAACTATATTTAATTTATGCAATCATTAAGAAAAAAGGAGCAAAAACATTTGCCACTAGATATTGATAAGTCATTATATTTTAGTGCAATCTATAGCTAATATAATATAATTATCACTAATAGATAAAATAACAGTATAGTACTATATGTCTTTATGTTCACAATAACACGGATTACATGTATATGTCCTAATAATCCAGCTAATTAATTAATACTGTATTGATATGCGAGTGAATATCGCGATATGAATTTAATTGAAAACAATTTTTTCTATACAAACAATCAGTTATATTTTCTGAGCAATGTTGTTTGCTTTAATTCAATTCGATCTTGATGGTAACCCATTGATAACCTATAATTAATCAATAGATAAGAATATATCTCTAAATGCACTTTTTAATGTTTGAATTAAAGTACATGTTTATCGCAAATAATGTTTGCACCATATTCATCAACCAGGAATTTTAATTTTATTTTTAGAATTAAAAGTTAATAATAAATTCTAAAAATAAAATTAAAATACCTGTTTGATAAATATAGTGTATATTTTTTACTCTAAATTTCATAAATCAAAAATACAATAAACAAGAATTTTATGTTAGAAAATAATTTAATTTATTTTTTGTACTTATTTTGGTAACATACAACAATAAGACTATACACATTATAATGAAATTGATTTTCTTTGTACACATATATCGACGCGAATATATAATTATGTCAACTTATTATTTATTACAAATATATAGATTATTATTATTATTATTATTATTACAATTAATTATAGATTTTCATTTCTTAATAAAATACTGTATCATTCTTACATTCACCTCATTATTAATTCATTATTATTATTACCATTAAAATACATATAACTTCAATTCAATTAGCATTTATTTGTGTAACTCGCTTGGTAGCTCACAACAAAAACAATCATAATCAATTGACATAATTTAATTAAAATAATTTCAAATAAATTTTATACAAAAAAAACTTATTGTAGGTAATGAGCATCGCCCTGATCATCTGAGTGGTATGTCTGACTGATGTGCTGGTAGGGTAGTGGTGTCGTCAGTGATATTATCATTGACAACATCCTCGGCACTATCGTGGGTCTCCTCGAAGAGCTCCTTAAGAAAGGGTCGATTCCTGTCGCCATTATTTTTGCCCTCCTGTCGGGTACACCGGGCCGTCATGTGGACGTCCTTTAAGATATTGATTAGTCTCAAGAACTTGGACTTAGACTCGCATTCCGATCGATATCTCAATAGCAGATACCGTTGCAGTAAATACATGTATGTTTTCTGCTGGAACCTATTCATCAATAAAAATAATAAATTATATATTATTATTAAATATGTTTTCATGAATATTTAATTACTGCTTTATATTTCTAGCCCTGATTATAAATAGCACTTAAAAAGCACTTAATATGTGAGATATAAACCTAAATAAATGTGTACTACATATATAATCCAATACAAGTAGACTTACTTAACCACATCCTTATGGGTCAATCCGGGACGGTTGGGATTAAACATCAATATAGCGGACAACTGTATGGTGGGATTAAACTGATTGTTAGATTTAATGTTTTCACTTAGCTTATCAAGTATAGAAAATTTATGTATATATATATACCAGGTCAATGATTACGGGATCGGAGTCCCACTCCGGGCACATGTGATCAAAATAACTTTTATACGCCATGTATATAGGAGTAACTTGTTGCTTCATCACATCCAGTTTCATGATCACCTTACTTTCATCCGACTGAAACATATATACCATAATTTAGAGCTTAATATATGGGACAGGTATCTATTAATAGACTTACAATTGGACATTCAAAGCGATCTTTCTCTCGGTTAAAGTAGACAATTGAGCGCATGTTGAGCACCTCAATGGCGCCGTACTTGACCAGGGCTATCTGATCATTCTCGCAGACATCGCGAAAACCGGTTAAATTCTTGATAAAATAGACCACTTTCTTGATCTCGCGCTCAAACCTGGCCGCCAGGTTACCCATCATTTGTTGGGGATATACGACAACTTCAACCACCCGTTTGGCGGTCGTCGGCTCCCGTATGAGGGAAATGGCGCTAAACAGCTCCGTTAGCTTATAGCCCTCGAGTTCGTTGAAGTTGTTGCGGTAGTCGGTGAGGGGCCGGGCAATCGGCAGTAGAGAGAACTCCAGTTCCACCGCAGTCTCGTAGACGTCCTCCGATATGCTATTCAGTTGGTCCTCGTATTTGATGCACCGTTGGATCACTTCCTTGATGTCGCGCTCCGAGTCGCTGATCGAGTTGCTCCGGTAGGTGTCCACCGAGTTGTGGTCCATGGTGTCTGTGCCCATGAATATGCCGGAGTCGGGCGACGAGTTGCCCCAGGAGTCGAGCGTCACCTTCATTGTCTCTTCACTGAGCTTTCGCTTCCGGCGGTTCTCCTCGATCTTCAAGCGAATCAATTGCTTCTCCTTCTCGTTGAGAATCGATTCCTGAAGGGGAACGGGATGTTATAGTTAGGGGTGCTGTCGACACAAATCTA